CTCTCTCGTCATCCCTCTTTTCTCTTTGAAACTCCAATAGCTCGTCCTCGCGATCTTCATACTTCTTAGATGCTTTTCTTTGTCTCTCAAAGAAGTCGGTAATGCACTCATTGAGACTCCTCTTTTTTCCTCTACTTTGTCTAGGCGAAGGTGGTCTAGTGGAAGAGAGGGGCAAAACATCATCATCATCATCATCATCATCCAAGTTGACATCATCAACATCATCCATGTTGGTTGAATGAACATCGTCTTCATGATCAGGCTGTTCATCATACGCACTTAAATCAGGAGTCCCACTGACGATATTCCCATTCGACTGCATTCCTTCACCAGTTACAAGTGGATCCGAGCCAAGTAAAGGGAGAAGATCATAATACCACTTAAACAAATGAGTGGTTTTCTCTAAAAGTTTAGATATAGTAAGTTAAACAAATTTAACGGTATAATAGTTAGCAGTTAGTAGTTTTCTTCTTACCTTCAACAGTGACGTTACCATCAACAGCAGGATCAACACCATATCCAGTAGCGGTTACCGTCTTGTAAGTAGCGGTAAACGATTTTTTCAAATATCTAATCGTCTCTATGATACTTTTTGTGGTTCTTTCACGATGTCCTCTGTTGACGAGGATTTGGGCCAGCTTTTTCGCCATACCTGTTTGGCTTTCGGCTTCACCTGGTTTTTGACTTTCACATCCGCTGAATTTACTCCAATTATCTCCTACTAGCATCCATTCAACCGCAATATCTTTTGAGCACTTGCCATTACTATCGAAGTCATTGATCCAGCTCTTTGCATTCGGGATCTTGTCTGTAACACCAGGACGACTATTAGTCGTGGAGCTTCCCTGGGGTCTAGGGGTAGCTGCAGACAGACGTGGAGTTGTTTCCAGTTCCTCAGTTTGTTGAGGTCTAGGCTGAATGTTGACAGGTGTTTGGTTCATTTTTAAAATTTTATGTGATATTTAAGATGAAATGAAGGACAATCCGCTACGTTTTTTTTTTTTTTATATAACACTCATCATCATATCGGGAGCCAAAAATTATACTTTGTAATGACATAAGGCCTCTTCTAGTACATCTTTCTCTACTATCTTTCATCATACGTTCCTCATTGATTCATTACATCATGTTCAGGACCTCCTCCAATCAAATCTTATTCTGAGTAAAAGTTTGGAATCTAAAAGCTGGACACAAAAAAATATCATTCAAGTTTATAGTTTTTTATGCAAATCTTTATTGGACATCGGACAAAGAAAAAAATTTGCTGGAAGCTGGAACCTGGAGGCTCGATTTTATTTGAGCGTCCCTATTATTGAATAAATTTCCAACTTCTTTTAAACCTTGTTCAACCATTTCAAAAATAATACAAGAAAAGGATAAAGAACAACACTTTTGAAAAAAAATCCCCCTTTTTATCCCCCCTCGATACTTAAAAAAATACCTCCTTTTTTTATGACAACAATCCCTGCGCTTTCCAATTTCCCCTTTTTTATGTCTTTATATAACCTCACTGATATTCTTTCTGCTTTATCGTTTATTTTGCGTCCCATGGTTACTTTGTCGTGTTGGTTACATTGTTGCTCTTCTTTTACCCGCGTTCTCGTCACTCTTGTCAGTCAAATTAAACTTTCTTCTTGGCCATGTACAGTCCCCTCCAAGATAAAAGTATCATTTTACAACTTTGCGATACATCACAGATGTATGATTAATATACTTTGAAGGATATACTCGACATTCAAATATTTAAAATTAGTGAGATGTATATGGAATCCATAAGGAACCTTTACTAAATGTGTTCATACAATTTTTTACAAAAAAAAATAAAAAATCCATTTTTTTCATTTACTCAATAATCGATAGGGTATCCTTTACTTCGGATCACATCCTTCATTCGTTTTGGCATTGAATCGATTAACTTATTAATCTTTTCAACGCCCATTAAGTTCCATTCAGATTCTACGAGAATCCTCAATGATTCTATGTTTCGAACATACTCAAAACGTCTTTCTTTTGCTCGTTTCAAGATCATCCAAAGATTCTCGATTGGGTTCAAATCTGGTGATTGAGGTGGCCAATTCAATCGAAGAATTTGGTGATTGTCTTTCCATTCACGAGCAACTTTTGCAGTATGGATTGGAGCATAATCCTCCATCAATACTGGTGTGCTGCAGCTGTTGTAAAAATCCAACAACACTGGTTCATAAACCTGCTTTATGAAGTCGTTGCTAGATCGCTGGCCTTTGTTGAAAAAAACCAAACTGGTTCGACGATTATAGGTTATTCCTCCCCAAATAGACAAGGACAACCTTCCACTCTTAAATGTGGTGCTAAACAACTAGGAAGCATTTTTTTGCTTTGGGCCTCGTCGAATTCTAATAGGACAAGAAGAACAGCAAGTTTGGAAGCTGCATTCATCTGTCCAGATTACTCGACGCCAGTCTTCCAAAGTCCAACTTTCGTGGTCCCTGGCAAACTGAAGACGTCTTTTCCTCTGTTCTTCGTTCACAAAAGGCTTTTTCTTCGCGATACGACTTCTCAAGTTGAGGCGGTGAAGCTCTTTTCTAAAGGTGTTCTTTGTAGCTTTAACCGCCACATTAGCCATGATCTCGGCAAGAGTACTTCGTCTATGAGTAATCACATAGTATCGTAAGGCTCGTCTGTCTCTTTCAGTAAAGATCGTACGTCTACCAGTGCCTTTTTTTCTCTCAAATGAACCTGATTTCTCACAACGTTCAATCGCACGCTTAATTGCAGCATGGGTAAACTTCAGTTCGCGAGCAATTTGGGCAATAGTTACGCCTTCATTCTTTTTCGCGACTGCATAGGCTTTTTGAGTGGGACTTAATTGAGGCATTGTAAAGATCTTTATTTTTAAAAATGAGAAACTTAACGAATAAAAGCTTTCTTATTTCGGGGGGTCCTTTGAAGAAAATGACGCGGTGTTGCAAAATGATACTTTTATCTTGGAGGGGACTGTACATAAGTACGTTTAGAATTCCTTTATAAATTTATTGACCAAGATGTTAAGATAATAATTTGGGGTTTATTTATACTAAATGACAGCTGGAAACTAATTTCATATTTGACAGTAATTAGTCATCAATAAATTTCTTCTTTGACTGTCGAATACACAAGTCAAGTTTGTGTTCTTATGTCGGAATGGGTATATTCAGATCCTTTCAATATCACTGGATCTTGTTACTTTATTTACCGATAGATCTGTGATACAGACTATTCCATTTATGTCAATTACATCTACTTCTATTACGTATACACTATGTGGTTTGGCACAAAAGCGATATGGCTGTAGAGAGTGTTGGTGAAAAACGTGTTCAAACGTGCCTTTTTTAAATGTTTCTCTTTTTACCTTTTCGTTTTCTTCACATCAGATTTTACACCGTGGCGCATCAGAACTTATAATAAAGGACGCAGACCTAAAAACCCCTGTCCCATCACTAGATTCCTCCTTTACACATCAAGCTGTTTTCGTATACCATATCTGGCAGTACAAAGTGTGTAGATGGTTAGTTATTTTAAAGGATACGTGAAGATTTGAATAATGTGGCAGATGAAAGAAAAGAATAAAGCAAAAGAAAGAACCGGGGGGATAGATGACGTGTGCGGAGATTTTCTGCTGACCATTGATTTTGCCTGCACCCGTGCGCATACACCACTTTCAATTTACATTCTTTGCTACTTGTTTCGTTTGTTCCTTCTTTACGTACCGACATGTCTCCCATACACCTTTTATCAGTCATAGAGGTTACATCAACGTTCTAAATTTTATGGCCCTTTAGATATAAATTAAACTATCAATATAAAAATAAATGAAAAAGAATACATAGACTTGTCATTTATTTTCCACTTTATACAGCTGTCCTTTGTTCCTTACAAAGACTTATATCTTTACTTAGCTTCAACTTTTTTTTTAACATAGAAAAGACGTGACATACTCTTGTTCCTGTTTTCCTTCATTTAAAATGCATTTTATGCTTCGTGTTTAAAGCCAATACGCCTTCATCCTATTTATCATGACATACACGATAGTAGCATACGTTCATCTTTACAAATTACACCAAGACCTGTATTAAAAAGATCAGCTTCTCGGTCAAAATTGGATACATCCTTTTACTGCTAGCGTTGTTCCCTTTACTATACTCCATTGAGTCTTTCTTTCATTGTACAATATTATTCTTTACTTGTTCATCATCCTTCTGTGTAAACAAAATGAATCTATCATTACTGTTTAAAGTGAAACCCCTGTCATGATCCTGTTACATTTTATGCCCCAAATATGCAATATGAGTAACCAGCTTTCAAACTCAATATTTATCATTGATCTGTCAGCTCTTTAAATCCTTTGTCATGATCCACATAAGCTATGACTAACTTTTGTCACTGCTTATTCTTTTATTTAATTTCTTGTTTTCCTTTCTCTATAAATATAGCTGATAAATTTCACTTCTCCCAGTTTTCTTTATCAGATATAATTCATAATCATCTTTTCTTTTCTTTCCTCCCTTTTATTCTTAAATAAATAACCTGCTTCAAGAAGCTATTCATTCTCTGTCCTGTCCTTCCTGTTTCGTTCCTCCCTCGTTCCTGACAACCCCCTTCATAAAGAATCTACTTGATTTGGCCATCAATCAATGCACTTACCATGAACAGGCCACCATGATACATTCTCTCTTTTTTTTTTGTTTAGTTTGACTCATTTTTGAAGAAGCTCGGGGTTTGTGTTCCTTGTCTATCACTTAACTCTGTCTTTGCTGACTTCAATTTATCTACCCAAACTGATGACTCTATACATGGAAGAAGAATGTCGTACTGATTCCTTCTTATAGGTCTTGGCACTCTAATAGAACGATTCACCGCGTTAGTCTCTCACACTACATTACTATCTTTTGCTTGTGGGTTACGTTCTAAAGAGCCGCGACTCTTGTTATTGATAAGAAAGGAAGAAAATTTAAAATAAAATACTGGTCTTTCGTATAAATATTTCATTTTGTCACAATTAGGATCAATGAAACACTACGACCTTGAATGAAAGCCAAGTAGCAAAAGTGAACTTCTTTATTATTTTGAATATCATTGCAATAAATGTAGTCGCTGTCTTTATAATATATGTAGTCGCTGTCTTTATAATATATGTAGTCGCTGTCTTTATAATGTATGTAGTGTAATTCTCCAGTTTTGTTCAAAGAAGTCGAGCGAAGCTGAAGATCTTGTAGTTCCTTCGTTAAGGCCTTATCCTGCTTAATAACACTAATGAACTTCTTGAATTTTTCCCTGCTCCATCGTTCAAAGGCTGCAACGGAGTAAGGAATTACAATAGCAAGAGCCCCGTACTTAAACTCCTTGAACAAGACATGGAATCTTTTACCAGCAGCTTTTAATAGTCTGGTCTGGTACTTACTATGTTGACCGTCTATTAAAAGAAGGTTAAATTTTTAAAGTATGCAATAGGCCATGTATGTTTTACCTTTTATTGTTTGCATGTGTTTCTTGGGTAATCCTTTGCCTTGAAACTGTGACTCTTCCAAGAAACAGAAAAAGTGATAGCATCCAACGTATTGGATACACTTTCGCAACACATAGTATGTCTGACCGGCATTAAAATAAAAGAAGATGTCTTTTAAAAACTTATTTATATTTTCGTGCTGGGTAGTTTAGGTCAGAGTAGGCATTATTCATACTCTAATCGCCTTAAGTCGAAGTTCCTAATTTAAGATAGACTTGTTTTGTCTAATCGCCACTGTGGGCGTTACAATTGCATCAGCCTCCTTTGCAGAGGTGGTAGGCACCTGTACTGGTCTGACCACATTGGTTTCATCGGATTTTTGAGTGTCATTTTAAAACGAGACCGCGTCATCGACGTACGGGTTGGTGGCGTACGATTTCTTTTTCTTACCGGAAGAGCTACCGTCTTGGTTTTCTCCGGCCATTTTTTTTCATTGGCACTGCCATCGGTCTCCTCCCAATGGGCAAGGGCGTAGATTGTTCTGATTATGTACATCTTAATATATATACATTTTTAAAATAAAAAAGAGCTCACCTTCTTCGGTTGGTAATTGAATATTTGACATTCTCAAACCTTGACTAATAAGATGGCATAGTTTTCTAGATCTAACAAAAATAATTGGTTATCCGTTACAAGATGATTGGTTTACCTTGTACTTACATTCGCTTTTGATACTAACATGCACGTTATTTAATTCAGTTATTTATGCTTTTTTTGTGTTTGATGTCGAACAATGAAAAGGGTGAGAGATAAAGAAATTTGTCGTCCATCACCACCTTTCAATATGCATTTTGGATTCAATCGCGTACCTGTCGGAAAGCGACTTTTTGTATGTAGGTGCAAAAGTCGAATTATTCTGTTTTTCTTTTTCGCGTTCTTCTTTTAATAGTAGCCGAGAGCTATATTAAATACTATCGCTACTTTACTATCAGAAATAGCTGTTTTATGTCTATTCCACGATCATTGTATACGCACAAAATCATAAGAAAAAAACCGATAAGCATTCCTTGTTTTACGTTTCAAAAGACGGGTGGGATGTCTAAATTGAAAGCATTTCGTTGTCATCTTATAGCCTTAGATTGGATCGAAGTCGAGTGTTAAAAAATTACTGTCTGCTCTTTTTGTTTCTTTCAAACGACGGGCTTTCCCTATGCTCCCCCGCTTTAATATTTTAGCACTAATAATGTTTGATAACTATCAGCAAAACGTTTTTATAACTAAATATTTAAACTAATTGCTTATGTTTCAAAGAAATGTTACAATCGTTCGTCTGTCAGAAATCTGTAGCAAAACGTTTTTTGGGGTATAAAATTTTAATTAAAAAAGAGCAAAACGTTTATCAGGTTCAAGCTTAGGGACAGGTTATATTAATTGTTTTCCATGAGAAATGATTCGTATCGCATTATTTGGTATATAAGACATGGTATCGAAATACTTAGTCAGGTTAATTATAATGCGTACAAAATACAACATTAGGACTAGACACCTGTAGTGATATACTTTACAAGGAGTTGCGTAACTTCAACACAGGCAATTATTATGTTGGGTAAGACTTTACAGGAGATTCCATGGCAACCAGAATAGTAAACTTCTGTCTTTTTGGACATTCCTTGCACACGTGATTAGGCGGAATAATAATCAGGAGTATGACTATATCAAGTTTATGGCAAAGACTGCGTAAAAAAAAATTGAAAATGCGTTTACTTTTCTAGCCATAAAAATTTCAGCTCAATATACAAATAGGCCTTGGACACAATAATTGACCTTCTGCTATTGCAGTTTTTGTAAAAGCTCCATATATTTTGAAATAACAAACACTACAGCCACGTTTTAGCAATTAAACATCGACCAGTCAACCGACCGGTCAAAAAATAATTTACGAACGGTCAACCTGCCGATCGAAAACTGAAAGACGATCGGTCAGCCCGCCGGTTGATAGTAAGAAGACTGTCATGAACCGCCTATGTTTCAGTTGCAGATAATCATGCAAAATGTCTGAGACCATTATTGAAACCCGACCAGCCCATTGGTCCTGTTCGACCTGTTCCACCTGTTCCCTGTTCTCTGCCTCCTGTCACACATGTCACTGTCAAACATCACTATTGTATCCTGTCTAACGCCTGTGTTCCAAATAATGTATCCCCGTTGTCCCTTGTGCTTGTAAAACCATTTAACATGCGTTCCCTTGGTAACTCTGCCTTTGAACTCCCTTATAAAACATTAATAATATCAGCTCATGTTATCCTCTGTATCTATCTGCGAAATTATATGTGTTCATTCCCGCTACCCCAAAGATGTCCCAAACTAAATATGGCCGTTCCCAAGCAAACATTATTTTCAAAAACAAATCGCTCGATTTGTAAAAAGGTTTGGTCCCCCCAGTATAAGTACTAGCTTATAATTTTAGTATACTGAGGATAGCAATGTGGCCCATATACAACTAGTAAATAAGACATGCTAATTTAGTAATTAGAAATATTATTTTAAGTCATGTCTCACATGTTTTTACTTTTTTGTAATTTATAGCCCCCACCTACGAGGGTATAAATTACTAATTTGTAAATTGCCCAACCCCCCATAAATTTTGGCTGGTAAAATGTTTTTTTATAGTTTAAATTACTATTTTGAGCTAAATACTTTTGTTCGCAAAACGTAAAAAAAGTTTTGCTTGGGAACGGCCTATGACTAATAGTCAGTCTTTGTTAATCTGATCCCCCAACTTTTGTTTACCCAATCTGTCAATAAAGATAAATAACAGCATGTTTATTTATTGTTATTTCTGTATTCAAGATCTTATCTATTTTTCCTACTCCTCTGAATAAACCTTTTTCTACCTTCATTCCTTTTTATATATGTATTAATACTAATAGATATATAATGTCTGTTTCTTTTGTCCTCACCCTAATAATTATTCTGTTCTGCTCTTGCCCCGATCCACTCCTCACAGGCCTACTAATTGAACAGGTCATCTTGATTAATTTTTTTTATAGCTCTGTTCAATGCACCAATACTAGAACCAGACTCCAAAGCAATGACACCATTAGAGCAGCATTGGACTAAACGAAAATGTGGTAGACTCAAAAATGGGTTACATGTTTAGAATAAAAATGTTTCAGTAAAGGTTATGAAAAAAAAGGGTTTAACATCTTATAATAGTGATAATAGCTTATATATTTCCTATGAAGCGCTGTTAACCAGATCCATAACTTAATAATAACAAAAAACAGAAAACTAAAAATGTTTGGAAAGTTTCCCTATGAATGAGTATGTGATGTCATTACACAAAATACGAAAACCTTAAACGGTTACGATACTTTGGAGGGCACTGTATATACGTTTTTGAAATTCAGGCGCACGTTTAAGGATGTTCTGATATGATTTGCGACTTACCTTAGTTGTGAAATTAGCTCCGATAATCCCCATACAAGTTTAGAATGCTTGAACCATTTCGGAACCGTTTCTAATTTCTTATAATGTATTTTGGTCATTAGTTTAATGTAATCAGGGAACCCTTAAGTATCGGATCTGTAGGGATAACGGACCGGAGTACCCTAAAGTTAACGGATTTTCAGGGATAACGGACCGGAGTACCCTAAAGTCAACGGATTTTCAGGGATAACGGACCGGAGTACCCTGAAATCAACGGATTTTGAGGGATAACGGACCAGAATTCTCAGATTTGTATGATTTATGCTGCTGACATGAAACAAAATAAATTGAGATCTTAAATAGAAGATGTACTAATATGGACAAGCTCCGTTTTTTTTTAAAAAAAATGTTTTTTTATGAATATTTTTTTCCTAAATTGAATTCTGTCAAAAACAATGTTCCCATATGTTTTTATTATCAATCTACTGCTCAAAAATGAAAAATCTGTGGGCATCGAATGTGAAGCCTCCAGAAATAAACGGTCCTAAAATAGACAACTAAAATGCGAAAATACAAAATAAAATTTTATTACTGTTTCCTTACCTTCATTTTTTTAAAATGAACAATCAAAACAACAACAACAACCCTATTAATTTCCAATTTATTTAAGTGACACCTAATGGTGTAGGCTATGGTAGCAACCGTCGCATGCTACTACTGTTTCAGAAGAAGAAAAGGTTCGTGTCGTCGTTCCGGCTGCTGCCCCCGTTTTCCCTGCTGCTCCTGCTACTGCCACTGCTACTACCACTGCTGATGCCACTGGTACTACCACTGCTACTACCACTGCAGATGCCACTGCAGATGCCACAGATGCTGATTTCACGGATGCTGCTGCCACTATTAAGTTTCAGATACGAGCTACAGTCACTGCAAGTGGAATTAAGCCAGCACTTTTACTCGGATTGAATTGTATGCTAATAACAACAACCGGTTGGAGTCCACTCGTACTTTAGCTGAACGAAATGAGTTGTACCGTGTCATGTTGCACGCATTCAACACCAAAACCAGCACCAAACAAAGAATATCTACGAGTGCTTTAAAGTGTAAGTGTTCTGCTTTCTGTGCTGCCTTCAGACATCGAAATGACAGGTTGAATGCGACTGGTAGGGAACCAATTGAAAACTGGACTTACCATGATGCGATGGAGAACGCCACCAATGAGGTGCCCACCGTGATCCCACGTAATGTGTATTCCTCTCTTCTTGGAGAGACGATCGATATTCGTGGTGAGGCTGTCAGTGCTAGACGAGGAAGGACCGTCGAAGACAATGGTGCTGAGGAGGGTGTGACTCGTGGGGCTGCCAGTAGAAGTAGAGGGGTCAACCGAACGATCGAGCATCTGGTGACCTCTATTAAGGAGATTGAGGCACGTTGTTTTAAGCGTGGAGAGCCTGAGCAGTAGAACGTTCAGGAGAAATCTTGCTCCTTCGACAACGTTTTTTGGTCAGCCGTTGAAGTCCATGGACAAACAGGACCAGGTGCAGTCTCGCATCGCCGTGCTGTTGCAAGGCCAGTCTGGATATCGAGCGCCAGATGCTGATGGTAATGAAAGGGGATTTCGGCTCAAGCAACAACAACGCCACCAGCTACAATGCGTTTGAAAACGGTGACTACAATTATACCAACCACACCAGCTACTACTTCCGCCCAGATGTCAATGGTATTCCTGAAGCCAATGACTATCAGTACAACAGTCCTTCTGCCAGCAGCACCAGCGCGTACAACAACACCCACGCCAACAACACCAACACCAGCAACATCGTCGTCAGAAGCACCCTTTCCAACAGCACCCTCCCATACAACACTGCCTCCACCCCCTCTGCCAATGACATGCGATCGATGGCAATGTCACGACGGTTTCTCCTGTTCCGTCAGACTTGCTTGATATCACTTATCCTTTGTCCGATGAATATAAACCTCATAACATCGACTAAAATATAGTGGGCTTTTTTCTTCAATAATAAATTTGTTTTATTTTTCAAAAAAATTTGGTACTTGACACATTTAAGGAAAGCTGGATTAAAGATGCCCAAGCGGGCACGGTTACCTATAACACATGTATCATCCTGCTCTCCAACTACAAGACCAGCAGGCTCAAGAACCAAACCATCGAAACCTAGCTCCCATCTTGCCGTTCATGCAGTGTGTAGAATAGCACACGACCCGATGATATCATTGATATCCAAATTATTATACACGTAAATATGGAATTGTGTGAATCTCCACTGATGAACGAACTTACCAAAAGTTCTTTCAATGGCCATTCTTCTGGCTGAATGCAGATAGTTGACTAACCTCTTGCGCGGATCCCGGAGACATTCACTTTCAGGGAATGGTGTAACCGAATTGGCAATGGTACGATAGGCCGAATCACCGAGAAAATAAATTCATTTAGGGAAGTAATGCCCAGGATTGTTCATGATCTTCCAGCTGAGATAACTGGAATTATAGGCTGAGGCATCGTGACTTCTCCGTAGTGTATTCAAAGTAAATTAGTTTCCAACTCTTATCTTTATATTGGTCATTACTACCAGAGTCTCCCTGGCGAATGTAAGTAAACATACATGTATCGTCACAAACAGCGGTAAGTTTAATGGTGTAGTTGTTTTTTTTTGTCACGGAACCCTGCTCCATAATCGGCTGGAGTTGGCTTATGAATGGTAAAGTTTTTTGCCATCAATAGCACCAATTGCATCAAGAATACTCACACCGAGGGCTTTGTTGAATCCAGCAGATATAGCACTCGCTATGGCTAAACTGGTAGGCCAATCCATCATATAGCTAAGCACATCTTTGATGGTTTTTACCGTACGCCTCGTGAAATTGGTATAGCTGCCATATAAAAAACCATACAGGACATACATGTTTTTGTATCCAAAAGGACAATTGGCCAGTCTTAAAAGACAGGTAGCTATCGGGATGGAGATAGGAACGTTGTTTGGTGTCTTGAAATCAAATTCAGGATGAGTAGACAGCCTGTTGACAAACCAATTTAAAGAGTCCGTTCCCATTTGATATGGGGTACGGAAGCAATCTACTTGTTTTTCGTCGTCGTCGCTAAGGTTGGGATGTTGTACCTCCCAAAAAGTGTATCTTTCAGACACTCTTGTGGCACCCACACCGTTATTTCACGTTCTGTTGATAATTTCTCTAGTATTAACAAAGGCATGGAAGTAATAGCCATTCCAAGTTCCTCGAGAAATCGGCTGCAAAAAAGTCGTACTGCAATTGCTGTTCTCCTCGCAAACGCACATTAATGACAGTAAGGTACAACAAATCTACAATTTCTTGGTTCTTGGTAGCAATGTTTTCACTAAATGCATAAAGAACAGTTTGTTATTGTCTTAACATTTTGAAGATGAGAAAAATTTGTTGCTGAGTTTGAGAATTCATAGAGAAATTAAATTGAAACAGAGAAAAGGAAAAAAGAAAAGGTAAAACAGGAACAAAATAAAAAAAAATCTTGCCGATAGTTTAGTAAAATCGAATTGCACTAGTTCCAGGATAATATTTATTTTATTGTTTATATTTTTTTAAAAAGCAGGTTTTGGAAAAAGATTGGCCTTCAAAAAAAAATATTTAAAAAAACGGCGCTTGTCTGTATTAGTACATGTATTTAAGATCCCAATTTATTTTATTCGATGTAAGCAGCCTAAACTTGTCTCTTATAGGAATCGAACCCAGTCGGGAAAATGAGGTGTGTGTAGATGCTGGTATTTAAACGTACTTTTTACAATGGCTACCGATGTCTAGACTTCAAGACTAGTACCATTGGATAGCTCTCGGTTTTTACATCTAAATCAAAAACTGGCATATGCGTCCAAATCAAATTGCTTGTAGCTAATTTGCTTCTATTGTCTCAGTCCCTTTCTTTCTCTCTCTGCTTTCTTCTTCTTCTTCTTCTTCTTCTTCTTCTTCTTCTGATAGCGTTCTTGCTCTTATCGATCCCTATTTCGGCCGGTGTT